GGACGTATCAGTTGTCGACCGGGCGGTAGCGCGGGAGCTCGCGTGCCATGAGCAGCGCGGCCTGCGCGTCCGTGGGGGCGCGGCGAGCGTGGGACGATGAGCCGGCCGGAGTCAGCGACGGGGTGGTGGTGCGGCTGTCACGGCGCATGGAGGGGTCAGTGAAGAGGCTTGCTGCTCGTTTGCCGCCGGGTCGGTGGCGGCGTTGGCGGCGGGTGACGGAGAACGACGGGAAGGCCCGCCGACGGGGGCTGTCTGAGCGACGCGGGCGGCGAGGGCAGCCCGGCGCTTAGCGCGGGCCCGGCGAGCGCCGGCCATGAACTTGGTGGAGTGCTGAAGCGCGGATTGACGAATAGGAAAGCTTAAGCGCATCCCTACCTGGCGCGCCAAATGTCGGATTTCGGGTTCCGGCAAAACCATTGAGGTTCGAACACTGGGGTGCGCACAAACATCACTCCCCCTCTCTAGCTCGCACACTCCGTATGATCTCGCGGTCTAGCTCGACGAACCCAAAGAACGAGAGACACAAGATTTATACTGGTTCGGGCCACCGTTGTGGTGTAATACCCTACTCCAATTTGGTGTGGTGGATTGCCTCTTGGGATGATAATGAACAGTTACAAGGGAAGAACAACCTCCTGAGGAGAGGTGTTCTTGTGTTTTGTGAGCTTGTGTGGTTGGGGATTCTCTCCTTCTAGATGAGCCTCTAGATCAGAATTCGATGCCCCCCTACGGTGGTGGCTAGCCCTATATATATAGGCCCGGGTCCTTTTCCCAAATATTGAGCGGGAAGGGATCCACAACGGTCAATTTAAAGGGAGACAACTAGTACAAGCTATCCTGACAAAAGTAATCTTCGCCTGCCAAAGGCCCTGGTGGTGACGCCGTCTTGAGCTCCACGGTGACCTCCATCCTGCTGGTCTCGGTCTTGTTGCACCGATATAAAAACATTTGCCTGATGCCTCGGGACTCCTCGCCTACACTTGCCCTTTAGCACCAAAGAGGAAACGAGGACATTGCGCGCCCTGGCGCCCGCCTGGCTCCAGTCGTTATGGCTTGCGTCACGCAAACCTCGCGAGGTGTCCCTTGCCTTGATCTCTCCGCCCCTCACGAGCCAGCCTGGTGAGGCCGCCCTTGAGGAGGTCTTGCGTCGTCCGCCTCGCGAGGCTTGACCCCTTGCGAGGGTCTTGAGTGTTTGCTGGTGAAGATGGGCCGTACAGGGCCGTTGGTGTAGCCACGCCACGGGCAGCAGGAAGGCAAGTCTGGGGACCCCGTTCCCATAACGCCGACAGCAGGCAACGCCTACTTCTTGCATCTACCATGGGAAGGAGACGAGAGGGTGCAACCATGGAGGAAATGGAGCTGGATCCCCTAACGTACGACCCCCTGCCGTTGGACCGCTGACGGGTGGGTCTGGGCCCACACGTCAGTATGTGGGCCGTACGTCAGACGAGCCGTGTCCGGAGGAAATGGGGAGTGCGCGATGCTGCTTCTTGTATTTGGTTAGTTGGTTATGCATGTATTGCTCCTGGACAATTATTTAGCCGATGAAATCCTTGAATTGTGTGATATATTTGAAAAACTTGAAGACACTATTTTGCAATATAGCACGCTATTAGCACATTATAACTTGTGTAGCATCTGAAGAAGGGCCACGCTATATCTTGTAGCGTGCTAATTTTTTCATTGCCTGAAACACACTATGTGGAAAAACACGGTATATTTCACTGTGAAGCAAAGTTGTGCTTTTCCCTGAAGCAGAGTTGTGCTAACCCAAAGTGAAAAGCTCTGTTGTGTTTCACAGAAAAGCACGGCTATGCTTTGACGTGAAGCACATATGTGCTTCTTGAAAAGTGAAAAGTACAATTGCACTTCTACGTGAAGCACAAGTGCTTGAAAAAGCGCACGGGGTGCTTCCCAAAAAGTGGTGAAAGGCACCTATGTATTTTTGGTTTTCGTTTTTTTTCAGTTTTCCTTTTCTTTATAGTTTTTTATTTTTGATTTTTTTTCAGAAAAAATCGGCCAAACCTATTAACAGAAAATCTATCTATTATCTCGAGCAAGAAACACAACGGTGAAAACGGTTCGTAATGTGAACACGCGGTTCAAGAGATAAAACATTTTGAAGAAAAAATGAATGAACTAAAAATGCAGAAAACTCCTGGGTTGTGACAAGCGTCACATAAGGTTGGACCAAAACCTCATAGCTCGCGAGCTTAATGAGTGCTCGATAGGTTGGCCCATTAAGCTTGTAGTTCGATTCTTATTGAACAGTACCAATCATTGATTTAGCTCGTTCAGCTTAATGAAAAAGCTACTAAGTTTCACGAGCACCTCATTAAACTCGTTAGTACTATACAAGACACGTGTTTACGTTACGTCACAACATTTTATGGCATCTCGAACCATCTATTCAATCTAATTGACCCAATCCAGCCCATAAGAGGCAGCAAACTTGTGCATTTTCTTCGGCAGTCATCATCTTCCTTCTTAAAAAAGCATGCTTGTATGTTAACGAGCGATTATTCACCCACCAGGGCTATTTACCATTTACTGCGAGACAAAACTTTGTTTGTCTCGCTATCAGCAATCCCAAAAACAGACTGGCCAAGCAGGCGGTTTTCATGCATGTGCAGGTAGCGTCGTGCTTTCGCTTCGGATTTCCTTTTTCTGTTCGTCTTTTTGTGGGTTTTTTCTCATTTTATTTAGTTGGTTTAATGTTTTATCTTTCTCTTTTTTTCTTTTTTTTTCTGTACCAGTTTTGTTTGGTTTTTATTTTCAAATACATGTCAACTTTGTTCATTGTACATTTTCTGTATACACATGCAACAGTTTTTTGTTACACGTTGAACATTTTTTACATACACGATTAACATTTTTGTAAGAAATTTATTGAAACATTTATTAAAATACGTGTTAAATGTTTTTCAAATACATGTTAAATAATTTTTTGAATGATACAAACTTTTTCTAAACTACGTGATCATTTCATTGTATAAACATTTTTCTGAAAATGTCACGAATATGTTTTAAATATGTGAACCTTTTTTAAATGGTAATATATCTTTTTGTAAATTACACAAACATTTTTTTACATTCTATAACCATTTTAGACCATGGCAATTTTATTAATTAGACCATGGCAATTTTATTAATTAGACCATGGCAAAGTTATTAATCAGACCATGTTAGTTTTATTTTTTGGTACCATGGCAAATTTTTATTCTTTAGACCATGACAATTTTATTAATTAGACCATGGAAAATTTAATAATTATGTGGACCAAACACATGGCAATTTTTATTCTTTAGACCATGGCGAATTCCTAAATTTTGTCATCCTTTCAAAGGTTAAATCTCCTAACGTTTCCATCTTTTTTCAAAACGAATCAAACTTGTACATTTGCCTTGTCCCTATTACAATTTTTTCAAAAGTTGAAATGTTTTTAGAGAACAATTTTTCTAAATTTTGCATGTGCAATTTTA